CAAGACCCTTGCACGCCTAACCCTTTAGAAAAAAACCCCAGGGGTGTTGAAACCTGACAGCTTTTAGACTTTAAGGTTTAGATAGGACTCTTAGAGGTGGGCGGGGCGATTGGTGAGCCAGCCAATCAGTGAGCGGTGGGCGGGGCAAGTGTACGGATGGGCGGGGGAAGGGAGCTGGAACTGGTCTAAACAGCACGGTAGATTTGTGGAACCTCTTCTATAGAAGAGGCTAGAACTGGCAGGAACCGGTTGCCCGGCAAAACCGCGCTCGACTAAACTGCGCCCGACTAAACCGCGTTGCTGACGTCATCAACAGGGCGACAACAGCGCGGAGACAGAAGCACGCTGTAAATGTACATGTTGATGACAGCAGCGACATGGTTTAGTCGGGCGCGGTTTAGTCGAGCGCGGTTTTGACGGGTCACGGCAGGAACCCACCCCTGGTTATGTAACACACTTGTGCTCGATTATTGAATAAACTTGAGTTGTATAGGTTCATATAACACACAAAGTGGTCACCAATGCTTGTGTTACTTCATGCTTGCAAAACCAGTCATAAATTATTTTGCTATTGGACTGCTTCCTACATTAAACATTATTTTTTTTAGATTCCCACATTAATTAACATTAAAATGCCAATTTGTCATGGCATATACATATATTTTATCTTTTGATAGCTGCTCTTAAGAAAGAAGAGTAATTTTATTCAATACCTGTTCATTCCTATAGAGATGCATCATCAATTAAAATTTTAGGCGTGGCTTCTTTTGGAAACCTCCTTCATTGTATACAGGATCCTTTTTTCATGTCTCATTTTCTTTCTTTTGGTCCCCTGAATTTGGTGTTCTGCCAGTTAGCATCTCCAAGAGAACAGAGAGAGAGATGAGAAAGGGAGAGAGAAAGGGAGTGGGGGAGGGAGAGAGGAAGGGAGGGAATAAAAAAGTTAAATATGACCCAGTTGTCTTCACAGTGGCAAAAGCAATCTTTTACTTACTGGTCCCTGATTTACAACAGGTAAACCCACCACTGAATTGAACACTGTTCTTGCATTAGACTTGCATGCATGGAATTGTGTTGTACTCAAAATGTTGATTATATGAGAAAAAATTGAAAAGAAAAGTAAAAGAATAAGCAAACATGTATGCAGCCTTACACTTGCTTGCACTGAATTACACTTGTCATTTTGGAAACAGCACCCCCCCCCNCTAGCGTCTGTGCGATGCTCCAGCTGCTCCTGGAGGATCCCGCAGGCGCTGTATGCGTCCTGCGCATGCGTGGAAGCGCAGAACTTGTCAAAACCTGGTAAGGAGCGTGGGCGGGCGGGCCCTTCGCCGTTCCCAGAAGTTACTTACTTCCGGGTTTGCTGACCAACCGGTTCGCGGGGACCGCCGCGAACCGGTTGAAACCCACCCCTGGGGCACATACATCCCCAAAAAGAGAGTATCTGAACACATGGCCAAACCAAAAATTCATTTACAGTAATGGAACAAATGAAACTTTTGCTCCTGGTTCCCCACCTTAGCCTCTTGCAACATCCTTTTAGGAGAAAACTGTACAACTGGGAGTAGGAAACCTTTGTGTTGATAAACGGCAAACTATTCAGGAACCTGAAAGTATATATAAACATCTCTTCCATCTGGGCCTTGTGTCAAATATGTACTTCGGATGGTGTGACCTTGAAGTTGAAAGATCCTCCATGTATTGATTAATTACATACTGGTTTTTTGGATACCTTTAATTGAGTTAATTGGGAATGAGTAACAAGATCAAAGGAAGAAACTATCAAGGGTAACAAGCAGGTATATATATTTGAAATGAGAAGCAAGAGCTCCAGTTCACCCAAATGCAACTTTTGAGATAGTATTGACTGCTGGAAATATTCTGGGAGGGATTTCCAAAATGAAGCTTTTAGGAAGAGGGGCAAACAAAACTGCATTTTATACTAGAGATTTAGTTGTGTTATCATACCCTATATGTCGTCCCCCCCCCCCAGCTAATACTTAACACAGTTTTCTTCAACCCAGCATTCTCTACACTCTGATTCCTTGCAATTCTCTCGCTTATATTGACTGGCTAAAATAGGAGTTAAAGTTCAACGCATCGTAAAGATGCCAATTCAATGGTGAAAGCTGTATTAAGAACATTCTCTTAAATTTTCTCATCATTTGTATGGATTTGATCTATGGAAAAAAACTCCCAATTCACAGCCGGTTAGCTGCCGTAGCATATTCCCACAGTAGTTTCACAGAGTGCAGACTCAGCATTGTAATACCATGAAAAGGAGTGACCCAAGTAATCATCAGGATCTTTCTGAAGTCGAGCAGGTTACAACACTTTAATTTAAATAAGGTGTGTTGTGTTCTTTCGGGAGAAAACACATTTATAATTAATGGTTGATTTCACACAGTGTAATTGGTATTCTCTTTCTCCCTCTTGCTCTTTCAGTCAAAATGGAATTGCTACCATGTCCCGCCGTCAGAACACCATTCAAGACCTTATGCAAAGCTGCTCGGATTGTCTCATGCGCGCTGAACTCATAGTGCAACCTGTAAGTTGGGAGATGGCATTGCTTCACTATTTTTTAATAATAAGTGAACAATGGCACATATTGCAGAAAGTAAATCAACATGTTACTAAGGAATGCGTAAAACGGTAGAACACTTGCTTTATAGTGAAAAGGTTTAGGGTTCATCTTCACCACACAGAGTAACCAAATCTTGCCCTGCTCATTTCAGGTCCTAAAAGATTAGGAATAATACCCATTGGGAGGTTCCTTGGAGTGTTACTGTCAGACAAATAGGCCACAAATAGAGAAATAGGTCGGATTCATACATTGGTTATGTACAGTGGTGGGTTTCAAAATTTTTTAGAACCTCTTCTGTAGGTGTGGCCTGCTTTGTGGGA